GTGTGTAGTGAGTAGCCTGGCATATAGTAGATGTTCAGTCAATACTCACAATAATCATATATAATGCATGGGTAAAAGGCAGGCCTAAGAAAGTGCTAGGCTGGCTTGAGTCACTGCTTTCCATTTCAATGTATGTCTACCTACAATGGATAAGGGTAAAAGGATTATGACAATTACTAGCCATGTGCTGTCCAGTAGGTAACCAATAGGCTAATGAGTAGCCACATGTATATGGTTACAGAGCACCTGAAATATGGCTAGTAAAAACAGATGTACAGGAAGTATAAAATACACACTGGATTTTGGAGATCTAGTATTAAAAATATGAAGACATTAATATATTTGTATTGATTAGATGTTGAATAACATTTTTGGTATATTGGAGCTAAATGAAATACATTAATGTGTCACCTGTTTCTTCCTACTTTTTACATGTGACTAGTAGAAAATTTAAAACTACCTATGTGGCTCGCATTATTGGACAGTGCTGGTCTATCCTTTAGATATAGTTATCCAGGCAATGAAACGTCTCTGCTTTTAAGGGGCAAATTGTTTACAAGCTTTCTAAAAATATAACTTTGGGGCACCTGGGTGGCTCAGTTGGTTAAGCATCTGGCTCTTGATTTCACCTCAGGTCATGATCTCACGGTTTGTGGCATCAAGTCCCATCAAGTATGGCTCTGTGCTGACAGTGTGGAGCCTGCTTGGGATTCTGTCTCTCTCTCTCTCTCTGCCCCTCCCCCCAAATAAATACATAAGCTTAAAAGCTCTTTTTAAATGTTTTAAATTTTACTTTTTCTTTCTTTCCTTTTTTTTAAAAAATTTATTTCTGAGAGAGAGACAGCGTGAGCACAGGAGGGTCAGAGAGAGAGGGAGACACAGAATCTGAAACAGGCTCCAGGCTCTGAGCTAGCTGTTAGCACAGAGCCCAACATGGGGCTTGAACCCACGAACCATGAGATCATGACCTGAGCTAAAGTAGGACACCTAGCAGACTGAGCCACCCAGTTTTGAGAGACAGAGAGAGAGAGAGCGCTAGTGGAGGAAAGACAGAGAGAGGCAGACATAGAATCTGAAGCAGGCTCCAGGCTCTGAGCTGTCAGCACAGAGCCCAACGTGAGGCTCAAACTCACTAGATGAGAGATCAAGACCTGAGCTCAAGTCTGATGCTTAACTGACTGAACCACCCAGGTGCCCCAGTAAATAAGCTTTTAAAAAAATAAATAAAAATTGGCTTTTACCCTTTAGGAAGATTGGCCCTAAAAGGGCCAGGACAGGTGGCCTGGAAGTTCTGGAATGCCTCTTCCTTCTCTGGTAGGACAGACCAGAATTAAACCTCATAGAGAGGCTGGACATCTTGGGCACCTCCTTCACCCCAAAGCAGAAGTAGAATGCGCCAGGCCAGAGCCTTGAGGGGAAGGTAGGGAACAAGTTCTGGTAACCTTAGTATTTCTACACTAGAAGCTCAGCTTCTGCTCAGTAGCCCTGCTGCCACCATAGAGAAACTTCTCAGCTTTCCTAACTTTTCAATTTCCCCAAGGGTGTGGGCCATAGCTCTAGAAGGAGTCTGGGGCCAGGACTCAACAGGTGCATTTCCAGGACAAGACCTGCCTGTACAGACTGCCAATTGGCAGGCAGGGCTCAGGCCCTAGATTCTAGAGCCCTCAGCTGTGATTATCAGAGCTTCCTGGGGGAAGGGGTTCTACCTCATGGAAAAGGTGGCGACTGAGGAATCCCTGCCTCCGCCTCCACTTCCAATCCCAGTTCCGCTTCTGCGTCTCTGTCCTGTTGTCCCCGTCCCTGTCCCCGGGGCCTGCTTTGGTGTGGGCTGGTGGTACTCTCAGCTACCAAGCTTAGTATCGAGTTTAGTGTCAGTGCAGACAGGGGATGTGGAGGCGGCTTCCAGTGGCAGGGTCTGGGGAAGGGGCAGCAGGCACCGTGTCTGGCCACTAAGGTGGCAAAAACCCCTGAAGCAGCCCCATAAGCAGGCCAAGGAGATGGACGAGGAAGATAAGGCATTCAAGCAGAAACAGAAAGAGGAGCAGAAGAAACTCGAGGAGCTAAAAGTGAAGGCTGCAGGGCTGGGGGGGGGAAGCCCCCTGGCCACAGGAGGAATTAAGAAATCTGGCAAAAAGTAAGCCGTCCCTTGTGCCTGAGGCAATGGTGATCTTTAATTCCATTCATGTTTAAACACCTGGATTCCCTGCCACAGCATCTGTTGCCACCTAGAGTGAAATGTTGTCTTAGATCCTGTTGTAATTTAAGAATAAACTTTTGTAAAAAAGAAATAAAATCAGTCAATCATAAAAAAAAGAAAAGAAAGGGGATGTGGAGGAGGAAAGAAAACCCTCAGTCTTGAAGGTCCTACTTCTTTCCATAGCTATTCAGTTTCCTCCCTTCCTCTTTCCCTTCTTACGTCCCTGCTGGGGCTGAGGCAAAGGCAGTCTGACTGGATTCCTCAGGGAAATGCCTTCAACTCTCCCTGGGCCTGCTCAGCGCTGGGCTGCTTGGCTCTGGGCAAAGCTTGTCCCAGCCTGAGCAGAACTAGAGAAAGGGGAGTGTGTCTGTCAGACAGCGGGGCCTGGAAAGCTCTGGGAGAGAGCATGGAGCTGAGTCCTACTGATGTGAAACAAGGGGGAGGGTAAGGACAGACAGAGCAGGCAGCTTACTGCTCCCCTCCTCTTCTCTGATCCCCAAAACACCCTAGTACATGAGTAAGGCTAAATTCTGACAAAGGGTTTGCAGTGCCTTGGCTCAAAGGTAACTGTCACCTAAACACATTTTAAACTGCCTCTGCTCCCAAAGGGACATTCACTAGTCTCCTTATTTCTGTTTCCCAGGCTGAAGTTAGTCTCCACCCAGAAATGAGGCTGAAATACGCACCCCCCACCCCCCACCCAAGGCTGGGTGCAAATCTGTGCCAGTCTATATAGGGATGAAGTGCAGGGTGCGTCCAGGCACAGGTAGGTTCTTCACTGAGGCCAGTGTCTGGTTGTGCATCTGCCACACCTTCAGTAGCCACTCAACTCAGCCTTTAGGGTCTTAGGAGACAGCTTGGTTTTCACTTGCTGGGTAGGTTCTCACTGACAGGGAAGTGAGCATGGGTAAAGTATGGACTGTCACCCCCAGTGCCACTTCCCAAGTGTCCTTGGTTTCAGTTCTCCTCTAGCCCTGAGGAAGATAAATAAACAGACCAGGGCTATAGATGAGGAAGGACTCCTGAAAGTCACTCTTTTCCTTTTCTGCGGCTGCCTGCTCTCAAGTTCTCAGTTATCATTACAATCAGTAAGAAAGAGAAAAGAAAAGAAGAGAAAAGAAGAGAAAAGAAAAGAAAAGAAAAGAAAAGAAAAAAGGCAAGGCAGAAAGAAAGAAAGAAAGAAAGAAAGAAAGAAAGAAAGAAAGAAAGAAAGAAAGAAAGAAAGAAAGAAAAGAAATCATAGCTCAAACTCCAGGACAAAGCATTCTGATTTCGTTTGGATGCCTACTTGCCAAGATCTTATTTTAAAGTTATTTCTCCCCCTCCTTCCCCCTGCTTCTCACTCTTCTCATCTATCTACCATTTACCAGTTCATCCATATGGAATACGATGCTCCCACTTCCTGGAGCACTGTAGTTTGGGGCCTAATTGATTCTGGTAATTAATTTGTTCTACCTGCTGAATCAGATGGAAATCCTACCCATGTGCCCAAGGATTAGCACTTGGCTTTCTAACACCTCCTCTAATTATCTAATAGCATGGGTTGTGAGGACTCAGTCTCTATTAAAACACTTTTACTATTAGCAGTAGTGATTGGAATTGTGAGGACGACTATATTTCAACAAATTAGAGCTTAAAAACGGGGAGATGGAAGAGAAGTGGCTTCTTTTAATTTCCCTGAGTTTAACATCAATAATTAGAGCAATTTTCGGAGATGCGAGCTGAAATTACCCCTGCTGTGCTGTAGATGATCACCTTAATTTTAGCAAATTGACTCCAGGGAAATAAATGGGACAGATTAGAAAGAGACAAACAGAAAAACAAAACAAAACAAAACCTCCAAAAACAGAAAGATTGGGAGGGAGGGAAATGAAAAAAAAAAAAAAAAGGCTGGGAAATAGAACAGGAGACAAAAACCTAGTACAATTACTTGGGGGACTAGGGTGGAAAGGGGTAGAATAGTAGAACTAGGCAGCTGTGTGAGTGGAATGAGGAGGAAGTAATGGAAATCTGAGAAGAGATGGAGACGGGCATTAAGAAGTAGCTCTGGACATACTTACACAGACCAAATTACTTGACTAATGTAGATAAAATTCACACCACCCTCTATAACTGAGGGAAAGAATGTTATGATCATCAACATATTATGTATTTACCTCGACAGTCCTTCCACGCCTCAGCCATCAGCCTAAGTTTGGTGTAGCGGATGTAGACTTTCCCCCCTCACTTCTTTTCTCCTTTGCTATCATTTCTCTAAAGTTTTAAAACCCAAGGCTGACTGACAAAGTAAGTGCCTTATCCCTATTGCTTTGGGGGTCCTTTAAATGCCTTTTGCTCTCTAAAGAGGAACCTGTCGAAAGACAGAGACTTTTTCTTTTTAGCTTTCTTTTTAAATGGCTGAGAGTAAAACAATTCAAATTGAGATCGAGAAACCAACCTGGTAGAGGAGCAAGAACCCGGTCCGCTCCGCTCTCCCCGGGCCTGGCCGGTTGTATTCAGCACCGCGGACAGATCCCCGCCCCGCCCAGAGCCCACCGCACCCTCCCCTCCGCCGCTGGCAGCTTTGCCATTGGCTCTCCCACCTCCCCTCTCGAAGCTGCCAATTCTACACATAGACCCAACCTACCCAGGAGCTTGTCTTCTTGCCTCTCCAGCGCCGGGGGTAGCCCAGGCCTGGGAGAGAGCCGCGGGGTTTCTCAGCCTCGGAGGGTGGTTGTCGGCTTTCAACTAGGTTTGCTGACACGCTGCCTGCTTCCTACACTTCGTCCTCGGCCCTCGCCCTGTGGCAGGCGCTTGGCTCAAGATGAACCTCAACTTCACCTCCCCTCTACACCCGGCGTCTTCTCAGAGGCCCACGTCCTTCTTCATTGAGGACATCCTGCTGCACAAGCCCAAGCCGCTAAGGGAGATGGCCCCTGACCACTTCGCCAGCTCTCTGGCCTCCCGGGTGCCTCTCCTAGACTATGGCTACCCCCTCATGCCCACACCCACCCTCCTGGCTCCTCACCCTCATCACCCTCTGCATAAGGGAGACCACCACCACCCTTACTTCCTTACCACCTCAGGTAAGTACCAGGGGCTTCAAGGTTTGGGGAGCGGAAGGGCAAGTCTCCCATGACAGACCCTAAGCCTGTGATGGAGCTGAGGAAAAGCCAGAGCTGGTCCAGGCTGGCTTGGCAGCTTCCTGCCCTAAGTGACAGTGGAAGATTGGGGATATGGCTGAGCTCCCTTGACCCATGCCAACCCATGGGGGGAACTCATGGTCACTCTGCATTCTTTGTAATGGAGGAAACGTTCCTATCCAAGAGGTGACTGGAAGTTTCTGACAATATTCTTGGTGGATAGTGCTCGGTCTCCTTCCTTGTGGTCTTCCTGGCTACTTTAGTCCAGCTCTCAATCCTGATTCTCTGCCTCTCCTTACTCTAAGGGAGACCCCGACCACCCCATGGAACACAACTCAACTTTCCAGCTCATTACCTCCAAAGGCTCCAGCAAGGCCAGCTCTCTTATCTCAGGCACTGAGCATTCATGGATGCTGCAGGGGCTTAGCAGTGAAAGAGGGTTTGGGATATTTTGAAGACTTGACCTGGAATAGGGGAATAATGATAAGAAAAAAAAGAGGGCAGAAGGAGGAGGAGGGACGCTGCTCCTCTTTAACTCTCTTTACTCCTGAAGTCTAACCCACAATCTTGGGCTCGGCTGCCCTCCTCTGCTCCTGTTGCTGGCTGAGCTGGAGCCCTACGTGCCCCGAAGTATCTTGATTTTCCATGAATAACAAGGATGGGGGAGGGGCAGCAAAGTGTGGTTGGGACAGGGAGAGGTGAGGAGATACCCAGATTTTTTTGGGCTGCTCTCTAAAAGGCCACATTCATGCCTTCTTCTCTGGCATTTTCATTCCAGCTAAAATATAATAGTTCAGTGCGTGCAGGTGCAGACTGCCGCCTGGTCTGGGGGAAAGCTGTGGAAACACATGAGACAGTTTGTGAAATGTGGGCTCTGGGGTCTACAACAAAAACTAGAAGTTTTTGTGAGGCAGTAAAACCCAGATTCTGAGGCACTAGGTTGGAAGGGCAATTATAAAAGCTGTGTTGAAGCCTGCATCCCAGTATTGTCTTCAGTACCTGGCCAACGACAGTCTCTTCTGGGTTCCCCCCAAACAGTAGTGGCCAAAGCCCATAATGACGGAACTGATGGTTTTGGTTTTTCCCTGGGATTGGCAGAAACGGATGTCCGTGGCAGCTTACTTGGGGCATCTCAGACATTGTAATGCCTGCGAAGGTCAGGAAAGACAAGAGAAATCTCCCCAGACCTGGTGGGGGTGGAGAAAGCACTTCAGTCCTTCTGCTTAGGGTCTGGGAGAAAGAATGAGGGTCAGATTACAGATCAGGGTCCCCAATGGGCCCCCAGAACGTGCCAGGCGGGCATTGTCCCTCCGTTCTCCTCTCGAGCTTCTCTTGATGAGAGTTTCGATCTGTTCCCTTTGGCGCAGGGGGGAGAATTCCGGCAGCTCCGGAAAGAGAAAGGTGTTTTTTAGTGAGGTGGGGGAGGCGAGGCCGCATTCACGCCTCTAGTAGCCCAAGAGCAAGGCGGAGTGTCCTCAAGGGTAGGGAAGGGCGGTGGGTGGTCCGAACAGCTACTGGACTAGCAGACGATCGCAAGAAAACTTCGGGAGGCGCCACAGAGGACTGGGAGCTAGCCAACGTTATGGAAGTCTTTCCAGAGACGTTTTTTAAAGCCCCCTGAGTTAAAATTTTTCTTTTCCGTTTTATTCGCTGTTGATTGTTTGCATGTCTAGATGGCCTTCCCGATAAAGATCTTCCAGCGCTATTCTTGTGATATTTTATTTCCCCTGCCTTGAGGTTCCTGCGAGAAGGGCCGGCGCAGCTCTGGGGCGACGAGGGGACCAGCGGAGGCACGAGGCAGCGGGAGGTGCTGGGGACCAGGGGAGCGCGGCGGCGGTGGCTCCCGGGTGTCCGCGCTCGACCCACGCCGATGCTTTTCTCTCTTGCAGGGGTGCCGGTGCCGGCGCTGTTCCCGCACCCCCAGCACAGCGAGCTGCCGGGCAAGCACTGCCGCCGCCGCAAAGCTCGAACGGTTTTCTCAGACTCGCAGCTTTCCGGCCTGGAGAAAAGATTCGAGATCCAGCGTTACCTGTCCACGCCAGAGCGGGTGGAGCTGGCCACGGCCCTCAGCCTGTCCGAGACGCAGGTGGGATGGAGACAGGCGGTTCCGCTCCCCGCCCCCCTCTCCTCTGAACTCCCACCGCCTCTGCGCCCCCCGCGGAGTTCTGGACTGGGAGTGACCCCCAGAATGATCCCCCTCCCCGTCATTCTGGGCTTCTCCAAAGATCCTTAGTAAAGGTACCGACACCTCCAACCTCAGGTCAGACTCCCCGAAACATAATCTCCTCTCTCCAGCGAGCGCTAGACCTGGAAGAGAAACTTCCTGTACGTTTGAGAACCGATCATTCCTGCGCTCCCGTCCCCCCCACCCCTCCCCCTGGTCAGACGTAAAAATCAGAGACTAGGCCGGTTCTTGTCCTGACAGAAGCTCACACGGGGAAAATTTTTTTCTTACCATTTTAATCTCTTTCTGGCTTTCGAGTCCAGGCCCCCAGCACTACCACCCCCCGCCACCCCTCCTCCCCCCGTCCCCTCTGTCCCCTCCTCCTTACTGCCCTGTCCTGGGTGGAAGAACTGTTTTCATCTTCCAGATGCTATTCACCTGCAACCTTCAAACTCTTTCCTCCACTGCCTCTGTCTCTTATATTCTCTGTACCTGGGAGCCCCGCCAGGCGCCAGTGAGTTTTCTCTCTGATGAGAACCAGCACATTGATTCTCCTCATCCTCTCCAGGAGTCTTGTTGGATCGGGTGTTTAGAGCTATAATCAGGAGAACGGAAGGTAAACACGAAGGAGATTCAGCCACAGAGCACTTACTCCTGGCCATTCTAATTAATAACATCAATTAGATATTAGTATTAACCAGTACTAACTAACCACACCCGTTCGACCTTTACCGTTATTTTGGACAATCACTTCCAGGAGCACTTAGGATGTCTGGTTCTCCTTCAGCCTAAGACCACACCTGCGAGCAGTTCAGGCGTGACTTCACGCAAGGAGGACACGGTCACAGCTCTTAGATAATTCGTGAATGGGTTGCGGTCCGTCTTCCTAGCCCCCAGCAATGTCTGAGATCTTAAGTAATTATGGGTCTGAAGGGATGACGTGGTTGTCTTTTTTTTTTTTTTTTCCCTCCCTGCAATCAGGTGAAAACATGGTTCCAGAACCGGCGGATGAAGCATAAAAAGCAGCTGAGAAAAACTCAGGATGAACCCAAAGCGCCGGATGGGCTGGAGAGCCCCGAAGGCAGCCCTCGCGGCCCGGAGGCCGCATCTGCCGCGGCTCGGCTGGGCCTGCCCGCCGGCCCCTTCGTGCTCACCGAGCCCGAGGACGAGGTGGACATAGGGGACGAGGGGGAGATCGGCTCTGGGCCGCACGCGCTCTGAGCTGCGTGGCGGGGGAGGCGGGGAGGACGCGGCGGCGGGGCGCGGTGCCCTCCGGACCCGGAACCCTCCTCGGACTCGGGTCCGGGGGCGGGCCTCGCAGACAAACAGAACACACCTGTCAACCCTCGAACCCGTGCGGGGGTCCCGGCAGCTCCGCTCGTGCCCTCCTCCCGCTCCCGCCCGCCCGCCGGGGCCCTGCCTGGCGAGCGTGCACCTGCGTTCGCTCACTCCCGCGCCCCGCGTCTTCTGTGGCGCAAGCTGGACCCCCGGCTCCCGGTTCTCAACTCCGCCGCGGTCGCAGACCCTCTCGGCCCTCTCCTCTCCGCCACCTGCCCCAGCTCAGTTGTCCAGGCTCCGCGACCTCTTCCACCCGGACCCTTTGCCCTTCCTCGGGTAGAGCCGATTGGCTGCAGGTAAGGGACCGGGTGTGTACGCCTCCCGCCCTGCGGGGATCCAGGCAGAGCCACAACCAGATGCTTAAGACGTCGGTGCCGACCGACTCGCGCGCGGCCAGCCGCTGACCTCCCACTCGGGTCCCCCGCCTCTAACTCCAAAACGAAGGCGACTCCCGCTCCTCCCGCCGAAGGCGGCGCTGCCATCCTCTCCCGTCGCTGTTCCTCCCCTGAGCTTGCGGTGCGGACCCCTGGCACCCCTGCTCTTTAAGCCGCCTCGCCCCTGTCCTGAGCGGCGCCAAACTTGGGCGGAGAAAAACCCACCGAGCAGTTTCTGCCTCCTGACCTTGCCGCGCCTGTCCCGCAACTTTTACACGTCCCATGGGCTACAGATACTTTAAAAATAAGTGTTCCTTGAGTTGTGTGTGGAAATGCTCATTCTCATCGCATTTTAGGGAACGCGGAGTTTTAGCGAGGTTCGAGCTAAAGGGGAATGCGCCTCTCTTTCCGGGCGTGCGTGCGCCTGTTTGTGGACTATTGAGGTGCTGCGGCAGTCTGGCCCGGCGCGTCGCCCCTCTCCCCTCCTTCCCCTCCCCTCCTTCCCTACGAGGTCTCCTATTCTCTCCCCGGGCTTGCAGTCTCTTTAGATAATAAAGGGCTCGCCGGGCAAAACTGGGAACGAACACGAGTTTCCGGAAATCGTTTGTTACCGCGTCCTTGTCCTCCTCCGAGCACGCCCCCTCCCCTCCGCTCTGGGCAGTTTCCTGTGCTCGACTGGAATGATGGGGCTAATAACCTTTCAGTGACAGACCCTCTCACGGCCACCCCGATTTTCCTGTTTTTACTCGTTTAATGTAGTCGTGAGTTTCACCTACATGGAAAAGATCACTGCAGATGGGGTTTTTGACTCTGAAATACCGAAGGGATGGAGATTACTTGATATTTGGAGTTTGAAATTATACCAACAAATTGTGTGTCGACGCTATCACACCCCCCCCCCCCCGCCAACTTACGAATATAGCAGCCGAGCCAGAGGCAACCTCAGCTTGAGATTTTCCTTTAGTTCTGGTTGTGTAGTTAGGTAGGGAGCCCAGAAAGGCTGGAAAAGAGCGTGTGGTTAAGTGGTGCCCTGACCCGTGGGTTCTGACGATGAATAGCAATTCTATAGACCATGGCGGTGTGAGGTTGGGTCTTTTTATTTCCTTGTTTCTCTAATAAGAGCGCGAATCCTAAATATCCTTGTAGGTCTAAGTTCTATAATTCTATGAATATAGCCGTAGGAATTCTTTTCTGTTTTCTTTCTTTCTTTCTTTCTTTCTTTCTTTCTTTCTTTCTTTCTTTCTTTCTTTCTTTCTCTTTCTCTCTTTCTTTTCTTTCTTTTCTTTCTATAGGTTGTTCCAGGACACGTTAATTTAAGCAAAGATAAGTCTCTGGGTGAGACCTCTATCCGAACGCATCATTTCGGGTGCAAAGCTATTGCTTTAAAAACATAAGTGGTGTATAGGTGTGTGGATTTTCCAAAGTGCTCTTTATCAATCAAGATCCTCTGAGTCCTAACAACGATTAGTTTTCCCTTTCACAGTTAAGGAATTTGAGGCTTGGCAAGATTGAAGGATCTACCTGTGAAATCAGGACTAGCTAACAGCCAAAGCAGGACAAACAAATCTCTCTTCCAATTCCTTGTTCATTTCTTTGTTCAGTACACTGTTTTCTTGTAACGATGCACTGGTTGGCATTTTGCCTCTATCACTTTATGTGAACACCTCTCTCCTTGATTTAGAACGTGTAGATGTGTGCTATTAAAAACAAATTTACACTGGGATTTCTCCTCTCTCCCTGTTTAGCTGATGACAATACCTTTTTAAAGGCAGGAGTTTTTGGCAAGTGCCCTACAGTAAGACAGAAGGGTTGGTTATGGGGGGAGAGGGGAGGTGATTTGTGAATAAAAATGTTCCTGGTAACTTGGAAGGGAAAGTAGATTCTATTACACAAGGGGGAGAATCTCAGCTTCTTTTAATGTTTGTTTATTTTTGAGAGGTGGGGGGGAGAGGGAGAGAAAACAAATGAGTGGGGGAGGGGCAGAGAGAGAGGGAGACACAGAATCTGAAACAGGCTCTGAGTTGTCAGCACAGAGCCTAACATGGGGCTTGAACCCACGAACTGCGAGATCATGACCTGAGTCGAAGTTGGATGCTTAACCGAGCCACCCAGGCGCCCCCCAAAAATATCAGATTCTTCAAATACTAGAAAGAAGAGCTACCAAAAGGAATTTGGGAAGAATCTTTAAAGTGAGTAGAAATATTTTGTTTTAAATTTTATTTTGAGAAAACGAGCATGAGCCGGGGGGCGGGGGGGAGGGGGGAAGAATCCCAAGCAGGCTCCATGCTGTCAGTGCAGAGCCCAGGGTGAAGCTCCATCTCCAGTACAGTGGGATTATGACCTGAGCTGAAACCAAGAGTCGGATGTTTAAAAGACTGAGCCACCCAGGTGCCTGGAAATCCTATATTTTGGAAGGACATTAAAAAAAAAATTAGATGGTTAACACAAACCTCAAAGCTCCAGACCTTTAGCTCACTCTTCTCCTATCTTAACAGGAAGATACTAGGGTTTATCTTGGCTCTAAGAGATGCAGATTAGGCATGTCTCATGAACTTTTGAATAGATAGGTAGATAGGAAACATTGTTAGTGTGGGCACAGCTCTACCTGATTGGAGGCAGAGTGGATCCTGGAGTCAGGGAATGGCCTTGTCTTTGATTCATGAACATTAAACGTGGAAAGAGGCTTGTTCTGCCTTCTTGTGGTCCTCGCTTTGTGGCTGTTCCTGCCTAAAGTAAGTGGGAAGGGAAGAGCTCACATCTGTAACACCCATTGCACTGCCTGAGGCATGGTCTTCTCCTAAAACCGCATTCCCTGAAATTGATGGCAAACAATTCAATAGCAAAGTTCTCCTGGTTTTCCTTTGCTTTTTTTTTTTTTTAAATACATGGGTGATGATGATAGTTGAGGATAAACACAATTTCATTTCATTTTAACATGATGGCACTGTCTGTTTTTGGCCTTCGATACCAATCAAAGCCTCCATAGTCTGAAGAGGTATTTTGTCTGTATTACCAAGGCTTTTGCCTCAACTTAGTTTCACTTGGTGGTAAAGATCTGACAAAACCACATTCATTAAGATGTATCATTAAAGACATAGGGCTGGTGCTGAAGGGGCAAAAACATCCTAAACTAGCCGCGGTGGCCTACATGAAATCCCAAATGCAGTAAATAATTTGTTCTGTTATTCTTACTGCTGTTTGCGGTGGATTTCATCAGTTCTCAGAGATAGACTCCTGATAATGTTTCTGCTCACATGACGTAAAAAGTGGACAACAGCCCATTCTGCCCAGTATTAGCTGATAGTGGCACTAAGCATTGATTGGAATTCATGACCGCCACCTCAGAAGGTAGAAGACTGCTCATGTCAGTGTGTTTGATAACTAGAGCTAAAGATCTGTGAAGGCACAGAGAAAGAATGCTTTTTGGTGCTAAGAGAATCATGCAATAAACATATTTAGTCAAAGCAGCGACTCCCTGGTCTTCTTCAGTTGGGCTCAACATATGTGCAGAAATAATGAGTTAATTGCAGTATTTATGTTCTTAGCATCACATTATAAAGTGGATGTTGACGAGCTAAAATTCATCTGGTACACAGGAATTTGGATAATAAAGGTGTGGAAAACAACAAATAAAGGAGTGTGAGCTTTTTAGCTTAGAGGAGGAAAGTCTTGGAGAGGGGCAGGAGAGGAGATCAGCTATGGTAATTGTGTTTGGATGGTTGCAGGGCTCCTCACTATCAAGTGGTATATGTAAGGGGCTGTGCTAAAGAAGGCGGAACCAGAACCAGTGGGTGGTTTCCAGGGAAACAGATTTGGGAGCCACATTTGCATACCTCCTATGGGCCAGGTACCGCGCTGTCCATTAACAGGACAGGCTAAGTCCAGAAGACACTGAGCACCTTTCTCTAGAAAAGTTGGAGCAGAAGCTGGAAGGCTCTGTCTTGGTTCTTCATTAGTGGGAAGTCGAACATGGTGGGTTCTTTCTAACGCTCAAGGACCTAGGATTTTATCTTCTTTTTGTAGGCAAGGAACAATAAATTCCAGCTTATTCAAGTTATTTGTCCTCTCATGAACAAGATTTCAGTTGATGTACCCTAAATAAATCTATCCATGACAATCAGAAGAATTAAGAGAAACAAGAAAAGGAAGAAAAAGATCTTTTATTCATTAAAGAAGTCCCCAACACCTCATTCAAGAAAAACAAAGAGATGGTCTGTGTAGTTAAGGACACATGTATATACAGGAAAGAACTATCTGTGTTCGAGACATTTGACAAAATCTAAGCTCTTCATTTTAGAAGTGAAGAAATTAGGATCCAGATCTAATGAATGCATTGTCAATGTTGAGTAGAAAGACTAGAAGTGTTTTTAATGATGCCACTTTGCCACTACTTCATGCTGTGATAAAAGTGACCATGGAGTTGGTGTCATTGTATTACGTAGTGGAATGGATTTTATATAGTAATTCTGGATGTAAGATTTTTATTAACTTTTTCATGTTTATTTTTTT